AGTCCCTCTTTTTGGTTTATAGTTGCATATCCATGTGTGGCTAGATATGCTAGTTCACTATAAACAAAGCTCTGATACCAACCTGTCACACCCCCGAACCAGACGGCGGAAACGTCCGGGGGCTGTCGTGACTCAATTGAATACCATCACAATGAATATACATGAAACATAACATTATACATCACCAACATTTGGAATGATACAACTGGTAGCGTTTACATCCATTACATTGTTCCAAAACATTACATTCTCAAAAGTAACTGTTCGATACTAAATTAAACCACAGCAAAACGTCATAGAGTACAATTCATCCTTCACTTTATCTGTTACCTGAGAATACAAGTATTTTGAAAAAAACGTCAACATATGAAATGTTGGTGAGTTCATAAGTAATGTTTGAAATCCAATGTTTGTAATGTTTTGAAAAAAAATCACCAGAAAATCCGATATTTTCTGAAAATAGAATAACGTAAAAATATGTGAAGATCCGTGAGTATGCTTGTTTGAATTCTATAGATGTAAGCGTAAGAGTTGTGAAATTCGACATGTAGTTCGTAAGTGTACTTGTTGAAAACCCTAGGAAAACCCGACGTTTTCCTATCACTTTGCTTTAGTTATTTTGGGTACTGTTATTTCGTTACGTTAGAGGTATTCGTTGAGCTCCGGAGGCATTGAGTATACAGAGGGTGGTGAATTGTTGTATCGTACGTTAATGAAAACGTCCAATTGGCAACCGTGCTAGTGATCCCTTAGGCGTCACTCGCACTTATTCACACAACTCAATCCTCCCGGACTTGTGTAGTCCCACGACCGGAGAGAAAAAGTGAAGGTGCGAAACCCTCGGTATTTCCCTGCGTCGTTCAAGACCATTGCAATTGCGAAGGGCCCGAAGCCCAACCCGCAATCGTGAGTTACCGACTTTACTAGCAGCACTGAAGGACCCTTGGGGACCAGCAGCATGTTTGCCATTGAAAGTCCTTTTACACGCGGTCGAGTCGCATTAGACCCAACTACATGTAAGCAAGTGTCCTTTGGGCCTAAAGATCATGTCATCGGGCTAGCTAGGCTCGACAAGCATGATTTGCAACTTTTGGGCCTAAGGAGTGTACGTCGACGTATTGAGTAATTCCACGAGAGTAAAGAGTTCCAAGAGTTTCATATGTGTATTGAGCGTTATAGTGTTAGTAGTTTTGGATTTGTTATTGATTCGAGACCGAATCAATTCGTTTGATAACGATTGTTGGTGATATTGTGTATTGTAATTTATCGAGAGTCGTAGTGTCAATCTTTGTTCACAACGAGTGTATTGAATTACCCTTGAAAATTTTCTGTTTACAACCCCTCTTAATTTTGTAAATTTACTTTTTCACCCCTTTAGGTAAAATAATTTCCGGTTTAGTCCTTAAACCATTTTTCTTGACATTTTAACACCAAAAATTATTGAAATTAATATTTTTCAGCATATTTTTCATTTAAAACAGTTTAAGTCCCTGAAATTGCAGTTTTCTCGGTTATAACCCCTCTTTTTCGCAATTTTTACATTTTTGGCCCAATTTGGAAAATTTTTGCAACTTTGGTCCTTTTTAAATTTGAAAAGCGTTTTAAACCTTTGAAAAGTACATGTAACACTAATAGTCCACTGTTTTACAGGAAAACACAGTTTTGGCCCTCCAAAACAAAAATTTCGCATAATGGGCCCTATTGGGCCGAAATTGTCATTTTTAGCCCATTAAGCTTGAAATTTATGTTTTTGATCTTCCAAAAGAGTATATTTTCAGAAAATACATTATGGAATCTGTTTTGACTCATCTCACCCATCAGATTTCGAAATATTTCATTTTGGGCCCTTTAACTTTGTATTTTTAACATTTATGTCAAAAAAATGAGTTTTTAGCCCAAAGTATGTATTGTTAAGCCACTTAGCTATTTTTCTTGGTATACTTTGTATGTAGTAGTATATTTCATGCTAGTATAAGATATATCTCGGTTTTTAGCAATTCATAACTAGATCTAGCATCAAAATCATACAAAACATACATATAAGCATAGAAATCAACCAAAACATACACATAATGATGGATCTACACCTTTACTTGTATTCTCCCCCACAAAAACTTATAAAAACCGAAAATAAGGGGGTATGAAGCTCACCTTGAGTTGTAGTTTCGGTTTTGAAGAGAGAAAAGAAGAAAATTTCGATCCTAGCAAGTCTCCTTGGTAGATCTCGAGTTTAGTGACTTCTAAGGTGCATGATCACAAGTTGGAATAGATTTAGAAGAGATTTTTGATGAAATGAAGTAGCTAGATCATGGATTAGTCATCAACTTACCTTAGATGATGTGTTTGTGGGAAAAACCTCCTTGAAAAGCTCTTGATTCTCGAAATTTTTGAAGAAGGAGGAAGGAGATGTCCTTCAAGACTTAGAGAGAATGAAATGAATTTTTGTGAGTGTGTGTGTGTTGTGTTCGGCCGAGAGCAAGAAGAGAGAGGAGAGGAGTGTGGTTCTTGAATTGATTTGCATGAAAACATGAGATGGTGCATGGGAGTCCTATGGATAATTATGAGGTGGCATAGGAAAGTCAACTCTCTTTCTTTGGTTGGGCTTGGGCCGAGATTTGGAGAGAAAAAGATGAGTATTGGGCCTTGTATGCTTAAGCCCATTTCATGGTTATGTTAAGTGATGTTTGGCCCCAATTAATTATAAATGTGATTTTTATGAGCTATTAAGGCTAAATTAGGTTAATTATGGTCCAAAATAGTTCATAATATTTGATTTATTTCATTCTAGGCCCAATATGGCCCAATATGTTGAAATAAATGAAAGTGGGTCCAATTAGAGCCCATTTAAGAGTTCTAAACCCAAGATAGTCAAATTGGAAGTTTATTGGTCCATTAGGCCCAATAAGGAAGTTCTAGTCCAAAATGGACCTAAATAAGAACTTCTAGGGTTTCCAATTGCTTGTTGACTATTTGTAATGCTTGTATGGTGTATTTGATTGCAATTTTGTTGTCACAGAGTAAGCATCATACATGCCCTTATGTTTTTGGATTCATAATCCGACTTAAGTGTTGTAGTTACAAGGCACAAAATTTCTAGTTGTGACATGCTGGTTTGTTCATCTATTCCTTTTGTGCATTTTTTGGTGATTGTTATCTATCTTATATATGTTGACTTAAATGTTGTGTTCACTTCTGCTTTGGAAAAAGTTGAATCTTGGATCTTTTCACGAATTATCTATTCAGTCTGGTGGCAGGTTTGTTGCATAATATTAAATATTAATGAGTTTTTTTATTGTATAGGAGTATAAGTATGTGGTGATTGAGTTGTTGCAGACACTTACTCCATATATGCAATCAACGATTGCAAGGGGTATTGTTAGTATTGTAGATTCAAAATGTCGTAGAAAAACATCATGTGAGCAAGAAAAAGCAAACTTCTCAATGGAGCTATGGAAGATTGCTTTCATGGATGCTTGTGAAAGGATTTATCCTGTTCGAGTTGCTAGACATGATTGTGGTTGCTTGCCTGTGCTTTCTAGATTGGTAACTTTTCATCTGATTACATTATACGTATGTGTCTAGATTATACACTATACATAGAGCTTAATAGTAATTTTTTTTGGTTGATAATGTTTAATTGGTAATGGAAGAGTGCATGGTGAGATTAGATGTGCAGGTTGATATAACAGAATTACAGAATTACCGAGAAGTCATGAAACCTGATATAACAGTATATTAGGTCAAAATTGGTAAAAGTGAAAAAATTGTCTTAAACTTTTATAGTTTGATTGGAAAAAAAAATTAATCATTATGCTAATAATCATTATGCTAATGAGCTTTAACCATGTTTTAATCTATTACTATTTTAGTTTGCAAAGATCTAAAAAAATATTGTTGAGTTCAGGCAAGTTCTACTTCCATTTTTCTTTTTCTTTTTCTAATTTCCCGAATTAGTTTTTGATTCTTTTTGCATTAAGTCTCTAAATAATAAACTTGAAGTGCAACAATAACCAATGAAGACTTTTAGGAAGAAGTGTAACAATAACTAATGGACCATCATCATTGGTTTACTGTGATTAGTGGTTGTCTTATCAGGTTTATTGTTTTCTAAGCATCTTGCTGAGCTGGCAGATTTTTTTTTTTGTTTAGATAGCGGTTTGTGATGGTCGTTTCTCTACCTTGGTGGTGGTTGGTCTAGTTGTTATTGGTGCTGCAATCCTGTATGCCACATTCTATATGTGGTTAGGTGTGGACACACCTCGACGAACGGACGTTACTAACTGTGAGTCTCCATTTAGTATCTTATTTAGTTCTAGAACATGTTCATTTTTTTATAATTCAGCTCCATTTTTTAAATGATTAATGACACTGTTAAATGTTGTAATTGTTTGAAATCCAGTTTAGT